AACGACCTTTAAGCACTTGTATTTTTTTTGTATTAGTTAGGTTGAGACAAAACAAATCTTCAGCATAATAAGTAGAATGTGTATGCCTGTGTAACCATAATAAACAAAACCTTGAGCCAGCAGATAACTATAATAATAATAATACAATAATGTGATGACCTTTCTGGAAACAAACAGAAAACATCATAAACCTTAAACATTTAGACTACATACAAAATGTTTGAAACCCTTAAATAGATTTGGATTATTTTTTTATCTTCATAATATATTTGTATGTGTACATTACTACAGGTGATTGCAAGCGACACCTGCATCTTTTGAGGATATATTCAATATTTTCAAGTATGAGAGCTGTTCCTGTGGTTGTTAGACATTTTATTTGCAAGAAGCAGATATCCATTTGCTACAAACTCCACATAGTGTTCAATAGGCGCGTTAACACGTACAAGTACTTTTCCCACAAAGGTTCCTGAGAACTACGATTTTAGTTGCGTTCACACCAAAAAGTCCCAGGAACTAATAAAGTTATAGAGAACCTTTTTTACTCCCTTTTCAGTCCCTGCTAGAGAGCAGGGACTTTCGTGGGAGAAAAAGGTTCCTGTGTCTGATTGGCTGGGCGGAATGCAAACCACGCCCCGTCAAACTCCCAAAAACTTTTGTGAAGCCGCCATTTTATTATCCTCGCATTGCATTATTAGCATTAGCATTAACCCAGCGCAGAAACGCAGAGAGACTAACTTATGACAACACAAAATAAAACATGGAAGCGGTGGTGATGAGGAGGTGTCGGCGTTCTGGCCGTTTACTCGGAAGGCTTCAGTAGAAGCTGCTGGGAGTCCCAGCAGCTTCTACTGAAGCCAGTCCCTAACTCCGGGGACTTCCGGTCGGGGATTTTGGACGGCAGTATACGCCGTGAAGTTGTCTGCGGCCTGCCAGTAAACCCAAAGCAGAAGAAGTGACGTCAGCGGCTTCATTTGCCTAATCCACCACCAGGAACTAATTTCCGGTGTGAACGCGATCTGTACTTAGTTCATAAGAACTAAAGAGTTCTCAGGAACCTTTGTGGGAAAAGTACTTGGTGTGAACGCGCCTATTGTCTTTATACTCTTATTTGACCCAAATAGAGTACATCAAGAATGACAGTATCATGTCATCTGAAACATGTTTACTCTTTGCTGTGTTTAGGGCCAATAGACATGATTTGTTGCTTCCAGGCAAAGACAAAAACTAAAACTGTACATTTTTGTTGTACTTATTGACAAAACAAGACATTTGAAGACATACTTGAATCAAAACAAGCTATCCTTTTAATACATGTTTAAGGACTAGTAAAATTCATCAGCAGATGTTCAAAATGTCTGAAAAAGAAAATAATTGCTTAAATGAATAAGAGTTTTCCATATAGTTGAATACAATAGAATATCTGTGTTTTTGTTTCTTTATTGAGCAGGATTTTTGTACACTGCTTATATTGATGAGGATTAAGCAAAGAAGAAATGCTTAAACTTTAACTGCTTATTTTTTGTCTTTTATTCATAGCCATCCCCTCAAGGAATTCCTTTACCCAGCAGATGAGGAGAAATGCTTTGAAAAACAGAAAAATTGGTCGAACAAAGAAGTGGAGACGAGAGAAGCTAAGACTATCAGGGAAGCACGCAGTGCAATCCTCCACCGCCAGCCAGTGTGGAACAGATCCACTTTTGTCTCACTTCCCTCTGAAGGACATTAGAATCAGAGTACGGCGCCACTCAGTGGAGTTCTTACTCAATTGTAAGAATCCAAAAAGCAAAGAAAGGGCTTTGCTTCAGCAGCTGGAGGAAGTGAGGCCAAAAAATATCGGGATAAGTGAACTGAATCTGACTGGCAAAGAAAATAACAGTGAGGTTAACTTGAAGCCTTTCACTCTAAATTCCTCAATGTCAGTTCTTCGGAAAAGTGGCCCTGCAGGATGCAGCCCAGGCCTTAATGGGAAATCTGTCAAAGTGTTGGATAGACGGCCGGCAGTTCCCCAGAGGTACTCTTCGAGAAAAAGAAGCATGATTCAAACCACGCTCACGCATCAAACGGGGTCCAGCAACACAGCAATCACTACAACCGTTTGTCCCCCTGTCCAAAATGACAAAATCTGCTGTGCAATAACACAGGAGAAGATTGAAAAAGCAACCACAGAGAGTCAAAGCAACAAGTCCAGCAGCATTGAATCCTGCATTGAATCCTGCATCGTCAATACGGCTCAAAACCCAGCTACTGGGCCAACAGAACCCAGGACTACCAGAGCGTCATCCATGCTGGAAGTCTGTCAGAGTGTCACTGATAACACAGAGGAATCTGGAGAAAATCCACCAATATCCCTCAAGCAATACCTTACAGTCAACCTTACAAGGTTATCGTTGCCACAAAGTGTAAAAGCAGGAAAGGCCCCTGAAGACGGGAAAGGAATTGTGACGTTAAGTGGAAGGACCAGGCATAGCAAGTGTCACAGACCAGCACCTCTGTCAGTGCAGTCAGAAAAAAGATTGTCCAGATGTCAGCAAAAGCAGGTGGAAAGCTCAGAGATCTGCACAGCTGAAGGTAACAGGGGGGTAAGGGAAATGTTTTTCAAAGCCATTGATAAAGTAAATTTAAGGGAGCAACAAGCAAGTGAAGCTGTAGATGATTTATCCCCCAGCAAGGAAGGGGGAAACGATAAGGTTATAGAAATACAAACGATATCACCAAAAAAAAAAAATGGAATACAGAAAGAGCAGCAGGACATTGTAAAAAGCAAAATTGAAGGGCAGGAAGAAAAGAATAATGCAGCTTCTGCAATTGTGGAATGTAAAAATAACACAGTCCTGGAAGAAGTGAAAGAGTTGGAATGTAAAATTGTGCCCGTTGAAAAAGCTAAAGAACAAAATATCATACAGAATGATAAAGTCGAGGAGGGAACTGTTAAATTAGAAGAACAAATGCCTAGGAGTGTAATGAATCGGCCAGTAAATAGCAATGAGGAAGATATTGTCATAAAGCAGGCAAGGGTTATGTTGTCTGATATTTTAAGAAAAGATTCGCATTCAATGGGTAAGAGATTACACAGTGATATTGTAGGAAGAGGGCTTTCTTCCTCGCCTTCTAAAGAAACGGTAAGTGCTGAAGGGAAGGAAGAACTAACCAAAACAAGAAGAGGCAGGTCCAGTTGTTTGTTGCAGAGAAGGATGATGAGGCAACGACAGTTGGGGCCTAGAACAGCAAAGAAGATGGCAGAAGCTAATCAAAGAACCAGGGGAGACTTTAGAAAAGAAGGTTCGGCTTTACTGAAGACTGAATTGATTGAGGACAGTTTAAGGCTTCTGTCGTCACCAAGGCATAATGACCCATCGGCCACATGCTCTAACCAACTACCTCATAAATCAGGAATTACAGCAAAATCTGAAAGTAATCTGCATCCAGGTACAAATACACAGGCGCATGTACAGTCAAACATACCTCTCAAAAAACGTACATTTCGCAGTTCTGTGGAAATAGATCCTGAACAAGGTGTGATTTCTGCTTCAGATCAAGCTTCTAAAGAAGCCACTGAGTTAAATTCATCTGCAGAGCTGAAGAGTAGCAAAATGAAAAGAGAAAATAAAGTCAGGTGTAGGAGAACAGAGCTCCAGAGGTTAAACCCCAAAAGGGTTGCAAAACAAAACTACTGTAAGCGATTGCTTCGTTCCCATTCTAATAAAGTTCAGCGGCGCAATTTATTGAGAAAAGTTCGGAATATTAAAATAGAGAGGCAAGATCCGGACATTGACAAGGCTCCGACTCGAGCGAGTGATAGGCTCGCGAAGGAGAAACAGGCTGGGGATCGTGTTAAAAAGCAGAGTCCAAATACATCCCAAGAGGAAGATGAGGTTGAAACAGTAATCCAACAATGTGGTTTGGAGGAGACAAAGCCGCAGCTCGATTTTAAGATTCGTTTCAAGAGGAGGAGAGGGAGAGTATGGGAAATGCATAAAGCAGGATTGGGAAATATGGCATTAAAAACTGAAAAGGGAGATGGGTTGATGACATGTGACCCTTTTAAAGCCATCATGGAATCTGTATCAGTTTTAAACATGGAGATGGAAGCAGCTCAGGCACATGTGCAGGCTAGTAAAAAGTCAAAGAGCAGATTGCATCGTTTGAAAAAAAGAGGTGAGAGGCTGAGTGAAAATAATACAAATACATCCTCGGACACAAAATCAGACAAAGACCTTGAAAACGTACGTGCACCCAGTGAAACGGCCAATGCCAAAATTGAGATTGCAGAAAAGCTTGATGAGGAACTTCCTGATGGAGTAATACTGGTACAAGACAAAAACAAGACTTGTAAAAATGATAGTGACATGCCAGCTGTAGCGAAAGAAACAAAAATTGAAGATCATTTTGTAAATAATTGCTGCTTGTTTGAGACTGGGTCACAGCAAAAACTGCTGCCTGAAGTAGATTCAAATGGTCTTCCATTACCAGTTATTAAACTGCGCAGAAAGAAAGAAAATATTTGGGAGGTGGACAGCAAAGACGGGCTTATACAAACAGAACTTAAAGTAGAGCACAAAGTAAAGAAAGAGATGTGCAGTCACCTTTTAGAGAAACAAAATAAAGGATGTCCTAGTTTCAGTAAGCTCAAAGAAGAGTTCCCTTTCCAAAGACCTAACAAGAACTCAGCCTTTCTGAAAACAGAAGCGCAGCCATTTTCCTTGTCTCTGTCACCACTGTCGCTGTCTTCCCCTCTCAATGACAATAAAACTGAAGTGATATACCCGCCTGCACGTGCAGTCAATGAAAGGCCAGAGATGAACAGCGGAGGAAGAAAACAGAGGTACAAAATGGAGAGACCACGAAAGTGTGTGCCTGTTGAAACACCCACCACTTGTCTTAGTCACACTCTACAACAAATTGACAACAGTCTTTCCAGGCTCACAGAGGGCTTGTGCTCATCTCAGACTTTGGAAAAGCCAATAGCCAGTTCCAGTGCTTGTAATTCTGTTATCCAGCCCACGTCCCAGTCTCCTCTATTCACAACTACAGATGCCTTGCTATCTGCTGAGCCTAACTTCACAAACTGCTGCGATGATATTCTGGACTTTCAGTGCCTCAACTTTGAGGGCTATTATCAACCACAGAATATACTTCCATCCTCCCCATCAGATCTGTGTTCACTGGATGCTCCCACTGATCCTTTCAGCAGTCCCCTTTCTCACAGCCCGTCTGACACATGGGCCAATGAGACGCCATACCTTGGCCCTCCGAGTCCAGGAAATAACTTCACAAATGAGGATCTGCAGTTTTTTCCTGGTTTTATTTCTTCCAAAAGTGACACTGTTCCTTTGGAATGTGAAGTGAGGGATACTCCCAAAGACAGAAACCAACCCAACACCAGTTTCGGTTTTGCAGCTCTAGGCAACATTGACTTCACTGCTAAGGATCGACTTTTTAGTAAAAATCCAGGAATGAGGCTGTCCAGAGAAGATCTCAGAACTCAGTCCGTGGTCAGCAAGCCTCTATTATTTGGTGCAACACCGTCTTCTGTTACGCCTCAAACTCCTGTTACTTTAACCCCACCATGTATCAATGTAAAGGCGAGCACCAGCCAATCAAAAGCCCAGTCAAACCTTAGAACCCAGGGCCCCTTCCATCGTATGACCATTCCTAGTAAATCCCAGACTTTTTCAAGTTGTCAGCCGAACACAGCAAGAGGAGTACCCCAGAATTGCTTGCCTAAATCTGTCCCAGCATCTCAAACTGCTAAAAAATTCCCCTCTTCTCAACTCTTCACTTTGAAAAATCCAAATCCTCCCGACAATCCATTCAAATTCCAAGAGAAAAACTCCACAGTTATTCACAGGGTGCTTAAGTATCAGGGGGGGAACCAGAGTCAGAACCTGTATAGTGCACCTTGCAAAGACGCCATGGCTGCTGGCAGCCCGATTGCCACATCTAGAACATTTGGTGCAAAATCCGGTGCATTTGAGAAAACCCAGCAGTGCCAGAAACTAAGTGTGGACAGTCACCATAAAGGCAACGTTTCTGTTCATGGGTTTGGAAAAGATGTTGGACATTTTGGTTCCTCCAGCAACCCCAGCAGGGCCAACCCTCATTTCAATAAACCCAACTCTTTACCTCTGTCTTTTGGCAAAAATACAATGCCATCTGACAAACATGAAAGTGGTGAACCTAACTTGACATTCAAAAACATGCAAAGACCCCTTTTCTTTCCTAGCAAAGTGTCTGATGGTTATTCGTCAACACAAGACAAGAAATCCACTTCGTCCGCAACCTCAGACAAGCACCAGTCATGCTTTATTCAGCAAGATCCCTTTGATTTTAGCTTCAGTTCGCCCATGCCTCAGCACAACAATCCCCAAGTGGCACACAGTACACCTACTGGTACGCCGGCACCAGCAAACAAGAGTCAGTCCTCAACCTCCTCGGCCTCTTTCCCTTATGGCTATCAAGGTCCTCCTTACGTAGTTAATTTCAGTGGAGATCATTCATTGACCCTAGGTCTCAGGGATGGGGCTGATGGTTACCCAGGGTTAGGCTCGACAAACTACACCTACCACTGTCTGATGGAACCTTCAGGCACCCAAGGGAGACTAGTTCTTGAGCCCTGTGGACCACAACTGCCTAACCCAGCATCTTTTTCTTTGGGTGGATTTTCAGGGCTCAAAGGTCAGGATGAACATTGCAGAAAGGACATGCATCAACAGTATCAGCCTGGGGAACAACAAGGCACACAACACTATGGGAATGTTCCATTGTCTCACTCAATGGGTGCCACAAAACCCAAGAGAGTGAGGTTAGTGGTGACGGACGGCACAGTAGACTTAGATCTCCAGTACTCGGATTGATTTATACCCCTACAAAATTTGGATGTTATTTTGCTAAAGGGGAAATACAGTATCTGCCACAGGATATTTTTGTAAGCTCTGTAATGTAAATCTACCATTCATGAGAGCCTGTACACATAGACTTTTTTAAATTACCATTTTTATTGACTGTTAGTGTATGAATGAATTAAACAGAGTTTTATGTAAAGTGGGCGTATCAGTGTGTTAAAACTACTGTGGGATTTGACAAAAATGAACCATACATACATACAAACAAATTGTAAATACCAAATTAAAAATGTATAAATAAAACGGATAATTAAATATATTTGTGACTTTAGACCTACAGGCCTAGTAAACATTGAAAGCCCTTTTTATGTAGCTGTATGACTTTTTCTATACAATGTATGTCGGTAAAGACACGAGCACCATCATTGCTTGCTGGTACTTGTGTTGGTTGGTTGTAAGAAGGCAGCTTTGTGCCTCAGTCTTTGATATGTTCTTGTGACTTTTTAAAGCACCTGTTGAAACAGTTAACCCTCATTTTTATACTCACAGTAAGCTCCTTTCTCACTTTGTGTGTGTGTGTGCGCGCATGTGTTTGACAGGCAGGTCTTAAGGGATCAAATTAAGGTGTGTTGTTGCACCCGCTTGTGTGACTGTTTATGATCATTAGTCACTTTTACATTAGTGAAAGGCTTGTGCATGAACGGTGTACAGTAAAATGATTTCCTGACCTTAATCAATATACAGTTTATTCAATATCATTCCATGACTTTAGTGGGTAAAGATGTGGGACATGAACTTCAGCTTTTCACCGCTGCTCTTTTGAGTAACTAGTTGATGAGTGGGCTTGAAAAACTAACTGCAATGTTTTATTTTTCAGGGCGTTGTGCTCAATGCATTGAAGTAATGTACAACATCTTTGTTATGGATGTTCAGCAACGTGGAAACGTTTAGATATTCCTATGGTACATCAAGAAAACTGACAATCTTCTCACAAAGTATCTCCCATTTGTTTTTCAAGGAAATGTGTGATTATTATACAGAAAGAAAAACATAAAGAGATGTTGTGCATCACCTGCAATAGTGATGATTTGTTTGTTGTTCTTGATTGAGCCACATATTTATATGTCTTTATACAAACGGAATTATTTTCTGTCGATTGTGGAAGTCATGCAAGCAATCCCTCATTTCATGATGTACTGTATGTTGAACCCATTCTCCATCAGTGGGCAGGAGTGTTCAGTGTGACTGCACAGCCTTTCATTACTTTGAGATTGTACTGTACTGTATTGATATGGAAAGGCCAATTATTTATTTTAATATCCTCATCCTTGAAATGGTGCTTTTTATGTAATTTATATTTAACATTGTGTAAACTATTAAATGTTTTGTATTATTTAATAGGACAAAATACTGAATTGATTTAGACTAAGTATTTAATTTCCCAGCATTCAACATGTTATTCAATGTTTCAGTTGTTACAGGAAAACGTTCTGTCTTTTTTCCTTATTCACAGTTAGTCTTACTGAAAGTCTGCTGTAGAATTGTATAAATGTAGACTATATCATTAAAGATAATTCATTCTTTTTAATATACTTTCTGAATTTGAGTCTTTTAATAATTATTTTCAAGAGAGTACTTCATAGCTTAATTTTTCATTGATTATCCATTTAATCCTTTATTCTACTGCTTACATTACTTCTCAAGCCCATGTCGTTTCTAAATCTGCTCATATCTAATGAAATACCTTTCTATAGTATTTTATAATGTCCGTCATATTTAAACAATTCACTCTAATTTATTATTTTCAGATTGAAGCTTCTATCTTATCTTGTTTTGTCAATCATATATTAAGCAAAATATGTCACATTATACACTGAACAAAAATATAAATGCAACACTTTTGTTTTTGCTCCCATTTTTCATGAGATGAACTCAACGATCTAAAACATTTTCTATATACACAAAATAACCATTTCTCTCAAATATTGTTCACAAATCTGAAAATCTGTGATAGTGAGCATTTCTCCTTTGCCGAGATAATCCATCCCACCTCACAGGTGTGGCATATCAAGATGCTGATTAGACAGCATNCACACACACACACACACACACACACACACACACACACACACATTAACCCATTCTTTCTTTATTTCGTCTCCTTTCTTTTGCCGTTTTTTCTCTCCGCCTATTTTGTCCAAACACCTCCTGCCTCCTCCTCTTCTTATTTCTGTCATCCGTCCATCCATCCTACCTTCCTTTCAGCCGAGTGTTTGTCCGGCTCTGGGGCAGTATTTCGGGGGTTGGCATGGCAGCCTGGCACGAGCACACAAGACTCCCCATTACCCCCCCGGCGTGCCCCCTCAGGAGGGTTAGGAAATCTTTATTTACTGTACATCGCTCCACATCTCACACAGCCTTTCTCCTCGTCTCCATGCTCTCTGGTCGTCCTCTTTATGTAACTTCGGTCCTGTGGGTTCTTGGGTACATTTGGCATCAGAACACACACTTCCAAGAATGCTTTAAATCAGGATCAGAATACCTTTATTAGTCCCACAGAGGGGAAATGTACATTTGTTACAGCAGAAAACACACCTTTTTATGTCAACTAAGAAGCATGCATACAAAATATTAGAGATAACAACATGTTAAAAAAGAAGGAAGTTAGAAGGAACATGTTCGTAGCAAAGGGTAACAAATAAGAATACTTACTCTTACTTCCAATCGAGTGTAAGATGATTGCTGGGGATGCAATATGATTTACAATATTGGAGGGATTGATCATTTTTGCATTATAATGGTGTATTGCTGGGCTGCACGATATTGGAAAAAACTGACATTGCGATTTCCC